TGCAGATGATTAAGAGCTTGCCTCACTGTGTATTGATTTATTTCATTTTAAAAACGTACACAAATAGCAACGAACAAAATGTAACTTGTAACTTTGGCAAAATAACTTGTAATCGTTTCAATTTTATGGCATTTTTTGTAACTAGTTACCGTTACAGTTACATGTTCTCAAAATGTAACAAGTTACCGTTACCGTTACTGAAAAATGTAACGATTACTTGTAACTAGTTACTTTTAACGAAGTTACTTACAGCACTGAAGATACGACACGCTTATGATTATTCTTTGTGTTTTCCTCATGAGTTATTAAATGAGTTTTTGAAAGCATATTGTTCCAGAGTCAAAACATATAAATAAATAAACAGCACCAACATTCGACAAGTATGTTTTGTGTTCGCTTCATACAGTACGCAATATATATTCGCGGAAAAGAATCTATAAATCTGTAGCTGCTTTAATAATTGCGTATATTTGTTTCATGTGTCAAATTCTTACTAGCTGGCTAACTAGTTCTTCGCATGTTCAAAACACAAAACATTCTTGCAATTGACTGTCTTTTAATTTAATAATAGTAATTAAAAAAATCATTGTAAAATTTACCTTGTATTTTCAACTGATTAAGTCAACAAGCACTTATTGAGAAGGTTCTTTTTAACCACAGCAGTCACCCCTTTTCTGCCTTTCAGGTTTATTTTTCTTGGTTTAGAAAATTTTGAAAGACTTTTCGAAAATTTTTTGCTTGGAACTTGGTTCTTGTCACAGCTTTGTAGGGAAATAAAAATACCGTATTGGCCGTGGGCAATCACTGGAAATCCTGCCAAAACAAATACTTGCCGTATTGCCTTTAGAACTGCATGCATGATGTACCATGAATCCCGAAGGATGATGTACCAAAACCATGATGTACCAATCCCGAAGGAAAAACCAGTGCGTGACGTAAACCGTCATATGCATCTTCCCTAACCCCGATTGTGTCGAAAGTCGCCGAGGACTATGTTGTAGACTGTTTTGTCAAACCAGCTGTACTTAAAAAAGTAGATCCCAATCAGTACGGAACGATTCCTAATTCAAGCACCGTCCATGCCCTCGTAAGCATGCATGCTTCATTCTTGGAGCGGATCAACAGACGGAAACGGCGGATCAACTACAGTGATGCTGTTAGACTTTAGAAAGCCATTCGATCTGATTGACCATCACCTGTTACTTCAGAAACTAAAAACATACGATCTACCCCCAATGGACAGTTGATTGGATAAAAGATTTTTTGACCTGCAGAAAACAGCGGTCAAACTGAACCATGATTGTTATTCTGAATGGGAACCAGTTTCAGCAGGTGCCCCCCAAGGAACAAAACTTGGCCCATGGCTATTCACAATAATGATTCCCACATCTGATATGTGGAAGTTTGTCGACGATTCAACTTTATGGGAAGCAATCAAAAAAGGAGATACAAGTTACATTCAAAATGAAGTTGATCAATTCACTATCCAAGCAAAAGCTAGTAAATTCCAACTAAAGGAGAGAAAGTGCAAAGAACTACGTATTGGATTCAATCGGAATACACCGCAATTCGACCCTATCCTAATTAATAACAACCCTATCGAAGTCATTGAATGTGTAAAGCTCCTTGGTCTCTATGTTTCCAATAACCTGAAGTGGAATAATCATATTCATGAAATCATCAACAAAACGCGGAAAAGACTGTTCTTCCTAAGCCAATTAAAAAAATATAATATCGGCATCACGGAACTAGTTCAAATCTATGCTGTTTGCATCCGACCAATTTGGAGTATGCATCCCCAGTCTTCCACGACAGTCTAACCGCCTATCTATCAAACGATCTCGAAATGATACAAAAAAGAGCTCTGAGGATAATATTATATGATGAGGCACCTACTGTTGCCGGCCTTCAGCAATTAAGTACACGAAGACAAAGATTTATATAATTGACCACCGCAGCGCGGACTGTCTCATTACACTGACCTGAAAGGTCAAGTGTCTTAAATTCCTAATTTTCTGTTTTATTCTATTTTCTTCGTCGTCGAAGTCTCGTCGCCGAGAAATCGAGTTTGCGTTAGCGCATCGCAGGCTCATGTTCCGTTTCAGTTTACTATACAGATCAGTACGTTTTCAAGATGGCCGCCATTCAATGAGTGACTATTTCAGTCTCAAACAATTTCTTCATTTGTCAACGAATTTTACCGCGTTTTTTTGTGGATTTTGGATTTGTCCTACTCTGCACTTTCTTGGAAGTTGACTTGGTGGGGTTTTTTTTCGTGCAATTAACGTGTTTGGGAATGTGATATCTGGATCGCTGAGTTTTTCGAATTTTATACGTAGACAATGTTGTCTGCGTTAGCGAATCGCATGCTCAGAGTCAGAGACCACGTGCATTTATGGACAACGTTTTTATTTGTGAGTAATACTTGTGTTTCATTGGACATTACGAAAACATCGATCCCCTCCCCCCGGAATTACGAAACGCTGTCAGTCTTTCACGCTGTCGCTTTGCCTTTGCGATTAGTATTCTTGTCTATTGCACTATAGCACGTATGTTGTCATTTCAGGTCAGTGTGAACGATTGAGCAACCGTCTTGTTAAACTTTAAATTGTGATAAAGCGTCATATTCAGTAGCGTGGCCACAGAACCCCAGGTTATATAATAATAATAATAATAATAATAATAATAATTTCTTCACATGGTCTAATTACAGGTATTGCTAGAATATACATATATATATATATATATATATATATATATATATATATATATATATATATATATATATATATATATATATATATATATATATATATATATATATATATTGGAACAATAACACAACTTCAAAAACTCATTAATAATTCATGAAGCAATTATCCAATCTTGAGTAAGAAATTAGTCACGTGCATACGTCTTTATACCAGCTAAAGAACACTTTAACAAAGGACCATTGTTATGCAAACTATATAAAGATTTTTATATAAAGATTTTTTATATAAAGATTTTTATATAAAGATTTTTATATAAAGATTTGGCTTATTATGCAAACGTTTTTGAAGCCATTTAAAAAACTCGCAGGTCGTGTTTTATTAGGTCTAA